GGCAGCTGAGCCTAGCAGACTCAGAGTGAATTAGAATATGAAAAGGACAAGGGCTGTCACTGGGCATGCTTTCGACATTCATGTTTATCTGGGGGGGTGGGGGAAGGACACCTCAACAACCGGCCCCTCTAAAGTGTGTTACAACAAAAGAGCAAACATAAGCTCCTACAGGGTGGTGGGTCAGACAGACGGATGGATTATTGATTGTATCGGAAATTTGCTACCCTATGTCTCCACCCTTGCAAAAAATGAGACTGAGGGTGATTAACCATGCAACTGAATGAAACAAGTATAGTAAAAATGTAAAATAGCTGAACTGAAACACTGAAAACATTAAAATAATCAAGAGGGAATAATAACATAAACTTAAAATATTAAACTTAAATACGCTAAATTTTAAAGATTTTATATTTAAACAGACAGACGGGCAGACAGACGATAGATTGACGGAAGGAGTTAAACTTTGAGTAGGTTCTGAAAAGCTCACCAAGAGAGTTTCAACATACTTCACAATACAAACAAACTGAAGGGCTCTTGAAACCCTAGCCAAATGTCCATGTAGCAGCTGGTCATAGGCAGATGGTACAGGAAGCCCCACAAATGCAAAAATGCAAGCTATTTCCGTCCATTCTTGGGAAAGACTGCAGGTGTATCTGAATAAGGCTTTAGCATTACTGAACATGATGCAACAGGGCTCCTTTTAGATCCTTCACCCACCCCATGTTTCCAAAGTATTGTGGCCGTGTCATACTATCCTCAGAAAGCACATGCATTCAAAACCTTTTTACCCCACTGTGTCCCATTGAGGATTAGGTCACAGTTTTAAAAGTATACCAGACCCTCCTGCACAGGGGATCCTGTTTCTCTGATAACTCTGAGGGGAAAGGGTGGGTACATAACGGTACGTGCAAATTGCTATCCTCCAGACAAGTGGAGGGCAGTTTTCTGGATCTATCTGTAGAGACTGCAGGAAAACATAGTCCTGTACAGAAGGACAAACTACAGCGGACCCTTGACTTACAGACGGCTCCACTTACAGACTTTTCGAGCTATAGACTTCTCTGGCTGCAAAATTTAGGTTCGACTTGCAGCCGGAGAATCGACATACAGACCAGAAAAAAACCAAAATGGAACAAAAATGGCTGGTTACGGGATTAATCGGTTTTCAATGCATTGTAGGTCAACGGAGACTCGACCTACAGACTTTTCGACCTGCAGCCACCGTTCCAATATGGATTAATTCCGTAAGTAGAGGGTCCACTGTATGAATAAAAGAGGAAGCCTCTAACAGTCCAATCTCTGCATGTCAGCGTCTGATCTGTACCTATTAGCAACATGGGCACCTACTTGAGCCACAACGACACGGAAGCTGCCCTACAAGTCAAACTGTTTGGGCAAAGTGTCTCTACATATTGCTGCTGGGGCTCGAAATCACAATGATCATCACGACCTCTTGGACAGCAAGGAAGCATCGACAGAGGAATGGGACCTTCAGTGTCCCATGATGTTCGTCTTGATTTTGAGCTTGCTTCCCAATCCTGCCTCCTTTCTTCTTTTGCGCTGAACTCCTGCTTCCTCTCATGACTCCTGGTCATGCGGTCTTCCTGGATAGGAAGGAGTATTAAAAGCTTCGAGGGAAGCATTGATTAGAAGAACCTGAAGGCTTTTGGCTTTAGCTTCTGGTTTGTTTTACATCCGACATCCCAATCTGCCCTTTGCCACTGGCTTCCAGCTCATGATTCTCAGCTCACCTCAGACGGCTGCCCGCAATCAAACCTGATTTCTCTTTAATCCCAGCAACACTCACCATGTTCTGGGCAACACCCACAAGGAGGTCTGTGGTTAGGGGTGTCATCGATCCCCTGCAGCTCTGATGTCTGGCTGACCTCTAAGTCGTTTAAAAAAGATACCTGCCTCAAAGGAAAGCAAGGGGGGTGGCAAGAATCAGAGGGCAGCCACTGATCCCAGATTGCATGGCCCTCCTGGGGAAGACCTGACATGAGGGATAGAAAAGAGAGCCTCTGAGCAACTGAGAAGAAATGAACCTGACCATTCAGACACCTGTAAGACTAGCAGGCATTTTGGAGAAAGATGTGCAGAAACACATTTTAGTACATAGGAACAAATACATGAATTATGTGAGATGTGCAAATAAATATGAGAAAATATGTAGATAAAATATGGATGACTTTTCACATGAAACACAAGCACACACACACACACACACAGGCTTCACAATTAAGCATCAAACAAAACTGGGAAGAAAATCCCTATGGAGAAACACGATCAGATCAGAACAGAGAGATGTTCAGATCCCTAGCAGAGAGCTCTCCAAATATCACAGGAGAATAGGTGAGGGGTTCTCGATCCCTTAGTGCAGAAAGCATCAAAACCTTCCCTTCTCTGAGTCAACAGGGGAACAACCACCTCACGTTAGGGATCACAGGCACCCAAGGGTGCCGGCTCGACTAGCTTCCAGATGTAGAAGTACTCACTGGGAGAATTCACAACTATATTTGTAAGTATAGGACTATTTATGAGCAGGACAGTCTTCACAAGTAGACCAATTCCAACTGGAACACTAACGACCTGTAAATATGTTCTGGTGGGGCTTGGAAAACCCAGGCCTCAACACCTCCCACTCTAGACAAGAGCATGCTGGAACTGTGTTTCTTAGCTGCTCCCAACGGTGTGCATGTAGTTGAAAGAACTATTCTCAGGGCCTTTCCTCTTAGAATCTCCAAGCTGGTCTGGGCATGGTCTTTGCTAAGCTCAGAGTTCGTCACTGGACTCCTCCACTCGAGCCCTGATGAACTGCCTTCAGACTGTATTTCTTGCCTTACTCCTATGTTTGGGCACTGGGATGGCTTCCAGGCTTGAAGATAATCCCAAAACTTGCAAAAGTGTAGTTCCTTTATTGTTAGGTGGCCTGAGGTAGGATACTGGAGAAGCATTATGATAGATCCTCTAAATTATGAGCAGGAATTTGTGCAGGGCATAGGCCATATGCAGGTTTTCACGGTCCCCAGTGTGCCCCATCTCCCTTGTAAAAAAATATTCTAATCTGAAAATGGACAACCATTACCCTAGAAATATCCCATAATGGCCTGTTATTCCTTTCACGAGGGTTGCGGCAGCACATATTTGGGGGAGGCTGACATAGTCTTTAAAAAGACTAGAAGTAACATTCCAGACAGTCCTCGTTTTTTAAAAAATGGGCAAGTATAGCTTATGGAGGTCTAGGGGAATGGTGGAAAACAGGGTGGGGATGGCCCTTGGACTTTCTGTGGTTGGCCAATTCAGTTCTCTGGTCGGGGTTGGGAAGCAACTACAGTGGACCCTCTACTTACGGAATTAATCCGTATTGGAACGATGGCTGCAGGTTGAAAAGTCTATAGGTTGAGTCTCCATTGACTTACAATGCATTGATCTGTAACCGGCCATTTTTGTTCTGTTTTTGTTCCATTTTGGTTTTTTTCTGGTCTGTAAGTCGATTCTCCAGCTGCAAGTCGAACCTAAATTTTGCGGCCAGAGAAGTCTGTAACTCAAAAAATCTGTAAGTTGAGGGTCCACTGTCAGTGAATAGGTGGAAGCCAGCTATGAGTGCATCTCTCAGGAGACAACTAAATCAGAAGATGGCGGCCTTCTCTCTTATGAACTAGGATGGCCAAATCACGAAATCTAACAACCTGGTCATTGATGTGTTTATTTATTTATTTATTCCATTTATACCCCGCCTATCTGGTCATTCCGACCACTCTAGGCGGCTAGTATTGAGACCATCACCAATTGAGGAACCTCTTGTTGGGGAAGGCACATGGATCAGAATGCAGCAAGTGAGGTTTTGATTATAAAGGACCCATTACAGCATAACTCAAATGCGGCTGCTTGTTGGGGGTGGCCATGTCTATCACCAGTGTACTGTTTGTAGCATTTGCAAGTGGGGCCCTAGAGAGAAATGCGTATGGCATATTTGTAGCATTTGCAAGTGACTGCCCCTCAAATGATCTCTTGCATGGAACAGTGACTGTATCTATAAATGGGGCCCTAGAGAGAAATGCGTATGGCATGATATGCACCAAATCACAAGTGAAAACCTCAACATTATCTAAGCCAAATATCATCTAAGAACTATCTAGAGAGAAGATGCATAAAGTTTTACCAAAAACCAAGACTTCACTGTTATTTCATAAATATACATCTCCTATGACAGAAAAAGGCATGCCCCCTACATATGCTATGCATACATTAAATGACTAAAATGGAAACAAATTAATAGATGCACCCTTATATTCATTTGTGCACATACAGTATATTAGCCAGTTTTCATATATGGATACCTTTAATACACTTTTTGTACACACACGCACACAGAGCCAACTTGAAATGTGCTTTATTATACTGCCCTGTATCAGTATAATCCCTAGAAAGATGGATTTTTAAACTGTTGTGCTAGTAAACATGGTTTGTTCATTAGTAATTAGCATAAAGATATTCATAGTAACAGCAGGCAATTTTAAAATTCCCTATCCTTTAGAATAATGAATCACTTAGCATTCTCTCTTCCAATTTCTGTGCAAATTAACCTAGGACAAAATGCGGTGACTACCAAATTAGGTGACTATGAGGTGACTACCAAATTAGGATGCATCTCAAGAGTCTTTGTTACAGATGTTTCACAAAGGAAACTGAAACCAACCGTTTTACTGCATTTCACTGATAAAAGACTATACTGAGAAACACTTACTGGTCCTTCATACTGAGTCCTGAATATTTTTACCCACCCACCCGCCTTCTGATACACACGACTTTGCCAAAACAGTTGCTGAATTTTGGCTAAGAGCAGTGGGGATTGGTACTTGAATCATAACCACCAAAATATATGGTGGGTTTTCTATATTAATAATGAAACTTGATCTCTGATTTTGAACTTGAATTCTGCATGAACTGTATTGTGAAGTCTGTTCTCTATACTGATTCAACTGAATGATTGAACTTACTGGTCCTTCAGCCAATCTTTCACAAAAGGGATTTCGAAGAATTCCGTGAAGGGCTCATCCTTCCTCTTTGAATTCTGGCTAACAGTTGTTACCGCAACATTTAAAAAGATATAATAGGAAATCAAAATCAAATGCATTAATATCCATTGTATGGTCAAATGCAATAACAAAAGAATGAAATAAGATATTTACACTTAGATTCCATAAGTAACTTACTTGTATAACCATTCCGTAAGGAAATCAAGGGCAATGAACTTTGTTCTTTTCCTCTGAAATACAAAAAATTCTGTATGAGACAAACTGCAGATGAACAGCCATGACCTGTTATTACCTGGTTTTACTCTGTCAGTCCTCCAAGGAGCTATTTGACAGCAGAACAATCTGCCCTGGGAGGGAGCAGGCTCTCCTGCACTGGAAATATTAAAGCTGAGGTGGAACAGCCAAGCGTAAAACAACTCAGTTGCATTCTGTATTGTTGACCTTGCATGAAGTAGGCCATATGTTGGTCTGATTTTGAGACCCCCAGAGGTTCCCCGTTCATTCATTCATTCATTCATTCATTCATTCATTCATTCATTCATTCATTCATTCATTCATTCATTCATTCATTCATTCATTCATTCAATTAATATATCACTGATGTGACTACTAAGGTGGTTCACAACAAAATAAAACACAAGAACAGAATAAACAATAGGTACAATATAAAAATCAAATAAATATATCAGTCAATTAACTAAAAAAGCAACATAACTATTAATTAATGTAAAATTAAAACATAACACTTAAACATTATCAAGGAAGATAGCGGAGTTGGTAGTTTAAGGGCTGAAAGAACCTCTGCACTCTGTTGGTGCAATATCTGCAAAGTCCTGTCTGAATAATCATGGTTTAAGCAGTCTCTTAAAGATCTCCAGTGAAGAGGCCCTGCAAATAACCCATCACATGCTTGTGTTAAAAATGGAGAACTGTGCACCCAGCAGCCTCCAGGAAGCACAATTCTTTTCTAAAAAAGGAGTGTTCTCCTCACACACAGACACACTTTGTAAAAGTTATTTTTAAATCTTTTTAGCAAGCAGACATCTGGACAATTTTGGTCTCATTTTGGAAGGTTGCTACAGTCCGTGGATGCAGCAAAAATGCCCATCTCTGGAACAGAGAACGGGACTAAATGACTCTCACCTGCCATATCCATTTCAGTGTTATGATTCCAGGGTGGTTCAACTGATACTCCATCTAATGACCACTTGTGATTTCACTTTGAGGGGTAGGGATGGGGTGGGGATAGAGAAAGCAGTGAGTCCACTCTACGTTTTAATTGGCAATTTACAGGTACTCTCCAAGGAGACTAATCCTATCCCCAAAAGAGGTTTCTTACCTTAAATGATTCTTGTAAAGTGTAGGGTAAAACCCAAAGTTTCACAGCATCTCCCAATTACTAGGAACTACTGGCTCTACCTTCTTTATCCTTACTCAATCTTGTAAGATGAGGACCAAACGTTAGAACTGCAGAGTTGGAAGGAACCCTATGGATACTCAGCCAGATCCCTCAACCACCAAGTGACCCAGAAGTTCGAAGGAGATGCAATATTTGTGATGTGTATTTGACGTTGCAGGGCTCATGTCTATTCAACGTATTAGGTAAAGTGCCCCTTGACATTTAGTCCAGTCATGTCCAACTCAAGGGGGTGGTGCTCATCCCCGTTTCCAAGCCATAGAGCCAGTGTTTGTCCGAAGACAGTTTCTGTGGTGATGTGGCCAGTGCGACTAGACACAGAACGCCGTGACCTACCCACCGAGGTGGTACCTATTTATCTACTTGCATTTTTACATGCTTCTGAACTGCTAGGTTGGCGGGAGCTGGGACAAGCGACGGGAGCTCACTCCGTCACGTGGATTCGATCTTACGACGGCTGGTCTTCCGACCTTGCAGCACAGAGGCTTCTGCGGTTTAACCCGCAGCGCCACCACATCCCAGATTTAACATATTACCAGCATGGAAATGTCTGAGTTGTATTGAGTCTGTGGCATGAAAGGTATGGCCTCTGATTCTTTGGCCCTTGTAGCGGTCACCCTCTCATGCGTATTCAGCAGTGCATTTGCATGAACCAATAGGGAGCTGTTGGCAAGTGGAGCCAGCTACATAGAAGGGGGGCTGAAGTACAGAGTTTGAAGAGATATTTCTTTTTTATTTATTTATTTAACTTCTATGCCGCCCACACTACCCAAAGGTCTCTGGGCGGCTTACAACAATTAAAATACAATTAAAAAGATAAAACAATTAAAATACAATTAAAATATACAGTGGTGCCTCGCTTAACAAGCACACCGTATAATGATGAAATCGCATAGCGAAGAGGTTACAGAGTTTGAAGAGATATTTCTTTTTTATTTATTTATTTAACTTCTATGCCGCCCACACTACCCAAAGGTCTCTGGGCGGCTTACAACAATTAAAATACAATTAAAAAGATAAAACAATTAAAATACAATTAAAATATACAGTGGTGCCTCGCTTAACAAGCACACCGTATAATGATGAAATCGCATAGCGAAGAGGTTTTTGCGATCGCAAATGTGATTGCATACCGATGGCCCCTATGGGCAAAACTCACTTTGCGAAGATCGGTAAGCCCGACAATCAGCTGTTCGGTGGCTCCAAAATGGCCGCCGGAAGCCCCGAAATGGCCGCGCGCAGAGTTTTCGCGCCCTGCCTTCGCTTAACGAGGGTGCCAAAATGGCTGCCGGACCCGGGAAGCATCGCTGAACGGTGAGTTTTCGGCCCATTTGGAACGCATTAAATGATGTTTAATGCGTTCCTATGGGCTTTTCTGTCCCGTTCAGCGATGTTTCGCCATAGCGAAGGTTAATCCGGAACGGATTAACCTCGCTATGCGAGGCACCACTGTATACTCTAAAAATTACCATCAGGACGCACAGTTGATATTATTTGAATTAAAATTAAAAGATGGAAAAATAGTTTGGGAGTTTGGTGGCAGAGAGAGATTTTAGTGAGTGTACAGTCAGAGTGTTACTCGTATTAGTTAAGCACGTATAGAAGAGGTTGAAGGAATGTGCTGAACACTTCGTGTAACTTTAAGAATGTGTTTCAAAACTATGCACGAAACAAGTTGTAACCAATAAACCTGTTCTTGTTTCAAATTTAAGTACTGAATGGACCTCAGTCTTTCACAGGAAACATAGTTGGCAAAGAGATCAGCTGGTGACAGTGCAGTAAAGGATGTGGTGGGTGTGTGAGACTGGGTACACAATCTAGGTACACGCAAGAGGCATGTCAGAGATTGATGGTGAGTGACAGGTTACTGAGACAAGTGGTGTTAGCTTGTCGGACGATCATGACAGCCCTCTCCAAGTCTTGGCTGAAATCACAAAGTTAGTGCTATTCTGACTGGGGTTGCAGCAGAGGCAAAGGGTTAACAACCCACGACCCATGTTATGGCCCCAATCTGATTCACATCTTCCTGAGCTAGCTATTTGGTAAATAAAAACCACACCAGGCCAAACCACATGAGAAACGTCTTGTCTTGTCTTATCCTCCTAAGTGAGGGGAACAGCGGGTACCCTATCAATAGCTGGTGAACTTTAGAGGTGTTCAGAGTTGTGTTTTTGGACTTCAGCTCCCAGGATTCCAAAGGCAGTTGTGGCTTCCTGTGGAATTGTGGGAGTTGTAGCCCAAAAACACAAATCAGCAGCACACCTCCAGCAGCTTCATAGCTGAGCATGAGAACTGAACACAGGTCTCATTCACTGAAGTCCATTTGCTCCATTCGCCACTTATACTGCCTCCCGATGAGACAACAACAGCCAACACAGTTATGGGATGTAGGGTTGATCTAGATCAGAACTTGGAATAGATACTTTTTTGGACTATAATGCCCAGATTCCTCCTGCCAGCATAACCAACATATTGAGGTGTGATATTTGGCAGCGATGAAAGACACTTGCTGCAGTTATCGGTGATGGGAAGAGTTGCTGTTTTGAATCCTCCGGAAGCATGGCATTGGCCACTGAAACCCTGAAAAGCCTTTGAGAAGACGATAGGAAGAGAGGCCTGGAGGACAGGAATCTAGGAAGCTTGGGGTGGAAAATCCCGATCTTTCATGGAGTGGATTAGGCTGAATGTGAGAGCATCTTTCTTTTCCCTAGCCGATAATTTTGAAGAGAACAGGACCACTTCCCTGGCTATTCTTAGAGACAACTGAAACATGCACTAGAAAGTTGTTGTTTTTCAATGTTATATACTGCCCCACAGTGCTAGAGCACTCTTTGGCTGGTTCAGAATGTAATTATGGAAGCAACACCTTGCCCCCCCCCCAAAAAAAAAGCTTGAGCCTGCTACCTGAACCTGTTGGGATTGAATTTAGGTTATGAGCAGAAGTTCGACTATAATACTGCCATTTAACCACTGCACTAGCTTTGTGGGAAGTGTAGTGACATCATCCTAGCCTAAAAAGAAGAAACGCATCAACAAAAAAGAGGATAGGCAGAATACAACCAATCTGGACATGTACTGTTGCAGATGTAGAAATACAGTCGTGCCCTGCTTTACGATTACCCCATTTAATGACGAATCTGCTTGACGGTGAGGTTTTTGCGATCGCTTTTGCGATTGCAAAACGATGTTTTGAATGGGGTTTTTCCGCTGTGCGATGATCGGTTCCTGCTTCGACAATCAAAAACAGCTGATCGTCGGGTTTCAAAATGGCCACTGGCTGCAGAAAATGCCCCCCCCACTGTGCTTAGGGACGGATTCCTTGCTGCACAGGCACCGAAAATGGCTGCCCCTATGGAGGATCTTCACTGGACGGCGAGTTTTCAGCCCACTGGAACGCACTGAATGGTTTTCAATGCATTTCAATGGGCTTTTTTATTTCGCTTTATGACGTTTTCGCTCGACAGCGATTTCGCTGGAACGAATTAACGTCGTCAAACAAGGCACCACTGTAACTGCAATAGTTGAAGTATAATAAACACTTAACTGAGGTGGGGAAGTCTGTGACCCAATGACCTGTTTGATGATAGGCAATTTCAAGGGCCCCAATCTCTCTTCTTGCAGTCCTTTATCTTTAAAATTCCTCAGTTATTGCTAGAAGATAACAGAGAGAACTTTTCTGCTCTCACTTCTATCACTAATAGGGAGAGAGACCTGAAAGAGAGGGAATCCGGGAATCCTGGAAGAGATGATCCCAGTCCTCCATGGGCTGGATTAGGCCTAATGCTTCCCTCCTTTCTGTAGAAAAGGACTTTG